TGGAGGTCAGTATAAAAGTGCCCCCCTACACTGGAGGTCAGTATAAAAGTGCCCCCCTACACTGGAGGTCAGTATAAAAGTGCCCCCCTACACTGGAGGTCAGTATAAAAGTGCCCCCCTACATTGGAGGTCAGTATAAAAGTGCCCCCCTACACTGGAGGTCAGTATAAAGGTGCCCCTACACTGGAGGTCAGTATAAAAGTGCCCCCCTACACTGGAGGTCAGTATAAAAGTGCTCAGCAGATGGCATGCTGTATTGTAGAGCTCATACTGGGCCCCTAGAATCTCTGGAGGAGACCACCAGAGGAAATAAGACCAGAGATCTGTAGCTGCTCCACCTCTGATAGCGTGATAGGACCCTCACTGTGCGCCTGCTGGACAGGAAGTCACTCGTGTGTATGACAACAGCTGCCCGCTATTACCTGATGTAGCCATGAAGTCCTCTGCTGGGCTCCTCTCTGTCTGTCCTTACACAGGTTCATGGCTGAACTCCGCCAACTGCCATCCAACCGACCAGAGGCCTTCCCTCTGCACAGAGGACGGAGGTTGGCAAGGCTCAGCCATCATGGAACCCAAGCTCCATTAGACTATATCAGAGGGGTGCACAGAAGGGCTCCGGCGCATACTTCACAGCGGAGATGACAACAGAAGAGAACGAGTCCTGATTATTATTCTTATATGATGAGGATTGTGCCGGCTCTTACACCACAGATTGGCCTCCGTATCTGAGCCTGACACTTCATATTTAGTAGCCTCTGAACCCCTGACCATCAAGCTGCAAGTCTGGAACTCTAAATCAGAGGACAAACCCAAATCTCTCACAATAAATGCATCAGCCCAATAGCATCTGGTCCTCCCAAAATAGAGGCCAGGTAACGAAGGATGTTATATGGGATGTGGACCTCCAGCTTACAATTACAGCCTCCCATATCTAGAGGCCAGGTAACGAAGGGTGTTATATGTAATATGAACCTCTAGCTCATATGTATACCCTCCTATATCTATAAGTCATGTAACGGAGGCTGTTATATGAAATATGGACCTCCAGATTACAATTACAGCCTCCCATATCTAGAGGCCAGGTAACGAAGGGTGTTATATGTAATATGAACCTCTAGCTCATATGTATACCCTCCTATATCTATAAGTCATGTAACGGAGGCTGTTATATGAAATATGGACCTCCAGATTACAATTACAGCCTCCCATATCTAGAGGCCAGGTAACGAAGGGTGTTATATGTAATATGAACCTCTAGCTCATATGTATACCCTCCTATATCTATAAGTCATGTAACGGAGGCTGTTATATGTAACATGAACCCCTAAGCTCATATTTATAGCCTCCAATATCTATAAGTCATGTAAAGAAGGCTGTTATATGAAATATGGACCTCCAGATTATAATTACGGCCTCCCATATCTAGAGAAACAGAAGATATGATGAGGAACAAAGGATGGAATGACCTTCTTTTCCCATTCGTTCTTCAGGCTCTCAGCGCTCTGCTCACACATCTTCTTCAGCTCCTGGATCTGGGCCTCCTTTGTCTCTCGGATGATCTGGGACTCACGCAGCAGGGTCTGCACTGTTATACAAAGAGATATAGGAAATGATTGGACCTTGTGGAAGGACATGACCATTGTCTGCTATACTGCTGCTGTAGCCCCTGTCATGTCTAAGTCTACAATCCGCTCATTGAGAAGAAAGTATTTCCAGGGCCTCCGTCCAGCACCCAGAGAATTGGTGCTTACACCCCTGTACAGAAGGATCTCTGGGGCCCTGCGCTGTCACAATCTTCCCTCTCCAAAATGGCGGCCAGCAGAGGAGGAAGGAGAGACACCCTGGGACATGGCGGCCAGCAGAGGAGGAAGGAGAGACACCCTGGGACATGTTGGGCAGCAATAATACAAAGCTGGTACCTTTTTTCTCCAGCCTCCGGATGGTCTCCTCGCTCTCATTCTGCTTATTTTTGTAAAGTGTTTTCAGTTCCTCGGTCTCATTATTCTTTCTGTCCAATATCTGCAAAGACAAATTCCCATCATACCACTGAAACCCCCCACAGGACAAGGAGGCACACAGGTCATCAATGGTGCTGTGCTATCGGGCATACACCTTATCTATGTAACTGAAAGATGAATTCTAATTGGCTGCCGTGAGCTGCACCAAGTCACTGCTCTTGTCACATCTCCGAAATACTGGAATGGGCAGTTCCTTGCAGAAGAGACCGTGTACACACCTATCCTGCAACACCCCGAGTCTCCCAACTTCCCTCCAGCACTGCAGCCTCAATCTTTGGTATTGAACTTCTGGGGGTGTGGGATGCCTGTGCTCCCCATCACGCATTGTAACTCCTTCCTCCATCCCTACATTACCAGAGGACTCTGTACTAACATAGCGTTAGGAGGAAGATAACGCGGCACGTGATGGTATCAGATGCCAATGAGCGTGACTGAGGATGCAGCACCAGAAAGAAGGGGAGGAGGAGACACGGGACACCGAAGAGGTGAGTCTAGTACCTCTTCTATTACAGAGAGCTCCCCTTTCCATATAACTAGATATCTGACAGGGTCTCTTTAAAGATGAACCAGGCAAAGAACTGATCATACAGTAGAAATACATATAATGAACCTGTTTAAGTGCCAGGACTGGGTGAGCAGACATACTAATCCATTGGCAGGTAACACAACTCTAGCGCACCTCACAGCCCTGCCTGGCACAATAGGGGACCTGACGTTTCTCTGCTGCAATTCACTAACACTTACAGCTTTGTCTATCCCCAGCCTGTGACTGGACAGTGAAAGAAGAGACAGCAGACTGATGAGCTCATCTGTCTGCTCTCTTCTCCTGTCAGCATGTCCCTTTTTAGCACATCATCGCACCTGATGAAGTCCCAGTCCTGTCCCTTCCTCTCCTGGTCTGAGCTACGCTGAACTTGCATTGGAAGAGGCTGACACCAAGTTGAATTCAGCTACTTGCACAGCTTACATTAAAAAAAATACATTGAATAATGTATCAGTGAACACAAAACTGTATTAACGTGTGTCCCCTGCCAGACAGGGCTGTGCTGTGAGGCACAGCTATGTAAATCTCAGGACTGGATGGACAGAAATACAACACCTTTGGCAGGTAATAGAAGACTTGCACCTGTATTTACCTGTCTGGAGTTCAGCATTTAATAGATTATAGTTCCCATTAGACATGTGCGATTCGTTTCGTTCCGATTGGAAATTCGGACGTATCCGAATTCCGAGTGACAGATATAACGAATGCAAACGAATCCGAATTTCCATTTCCGAAATTCGTTAGCGGTAGTTCGTTCGAACGTTCGTTTCGTTTCTTATTCTTTTCGTTCGTTGCAGCAAAGTGCCTTCAGAGAAGGAGGAAAACATGTCACTTTGTTGCAAACGAATTAACGAAATGAATAAGAAACGAAAACGAACCGAACGTTCGAACCGAATTGACTTTCACACCCGAACCCCGAAAAACAAAATAACATAAAATCTGAATCAAAACAAATATTTAAATATTTGCCAGTGCACATGTCTAGTTCCCATTACTTGTAGAGCTCTGTAGACTGTGTGACCCCGGACATTATCAGGTGTATATGTGTCACACTCAGAGACTACTTACTAGGGATGCACCGATACCAAGTACCGATACTGGGTACAAGTACCGATACTTTTCCAGCTCCAAGACTAGACTAGAGCGAAATTCAGAAGTTAGGAGGCGGCTGTCATTTGTATGGAGCTCCCGGGATTTGTACATCTCTGTTTTATTGTATGATTTTGTTTTTATAAATATATATATGAGATGCACAGATACCAGTTTTGCGAGTACGAGCTCTGATACATTTGTGTTTAGTGTCATGTGACAGTTTTTTCTAAAACAATACAGACTAATGATTTCAGGACAGTGGTGGAGCGCCAGCCCGGTCCCAGCTGCAACCGCTGCAACCCTGGTAGTCCTCATGAACATGCCAAGTATCCGGACCGGTATCTGAACTGGTATCGGCACTGGTATCGGTGCATCCCTACTATTTATACCTTTATAACAAATCAGAATGCTGAGAATGGCGTCGGCACCATGACAGCGCTCCAGCTACGGTCTCAGCTGCAGTTTGGGAGGCCGTCACCAGCTCTGAGAGGTGGACAGGAGCGGTATCATGGCCTCCATTTGTGCAGAGGGAGATATTTGTATCTTTATTACCCGGATCGTCTTTCCTCTGCCTGGGATCAGACAAAAGCTCTCATATAGCGCTCTGCAGGTAGCATCCCGCGACTCTGCGCCTACACAAGATTCACTTACAGCCTCGGCGTCTTCTCCCCACCTGACCAAATACTGACATCCGCCAGCTGCCACTTTGATGTGTCGCCGTGTGGTGTCCACTGCGCAAAGGCGGCGGGCCTACATTCGGGGCAGTCACATGACCGGTGAAATAGAGGCCCCCTGTATTAGTATGTGGAATGCTGATCACTCAGATCTCACTTGTCATCCGTGGCAGGGCATATTCTTCTACAATACTCCATGTCCTCAGACCAGAGCGTCACTCTTATAAGAATGTCCCTTACATTGGGGGTCAGTGGGAAGAATGTCCCTTACATTGGGGGTCAGTGGGGGGAATGCTCCTTACATGGGTGGTCAGTGGGAAGAATGCTCCTTACATTGGTGGTCAGTGGAAAGAATGTCCCTTACATTGGGGGTCAGTGGGAAGAATGTCCCTTACATTGGGGGTCAGTGGGGGGAATGTCCCTTACATTGGGGGTCAGTGGGGGGAATGTTCCTTACATTGGGGGTCAGTGGGAAGAATGCTCCTTACATTGGGGGTCAGTGGGAGGAATGCTCCTTACATTGGGGGTCAGTGGGAAGAATGCTCCTTACATTGGGGGTCAGTGATTACATATCCTAGAGGCAGCAGAAATTGTTCAGGGACCCCCAGCAATAGGTGGAAGAACCGTGGCTGGGCTATAGGAAGCAGTTTACATCTCACTCACCTTCTGTACATCTGAATCGTGCTTCTGCTGCATTTTTAACTTCTCTTCATGAAACTTCGCCTCCATGGCTTTGATCTTCAAGTCCATCTAGAAAAGAACATGTGGTTATGACCGGGCTACAGGTGACACAGATCATCCATCTAACTGTCCAGTGATGTAAACTACAGGGTCAGAGGCCTAAAGTGGACCTGTCATCAAATATGTTTTGTGTTGAACACAAGCCTGATTAAGGTTTATAAAGAGGTGTACAAGGGATCAGGATGGAGCGGTATCATTCACAATACAGGCATCAGAAGTATAAAAGGACTCAGCAGTACAAGTCAGTGATATATATTGTTGGTAAAGTAACAATTCTGCACAGGGATTGTAATTTTAACTTAGGGGGGGATATTTTTAGAGATAGGACACACATTAGGACACAAGGGGATATATGATAATGTGGGAGATAGCGGGGGAGGACACAAGGGGATATATGAGAATGTGGGAGATAGCGGTGTAGGACCCAAGGGGATATATGAGAATGTGGGAGATAGCGGTGTAGGACCCAAGGGGATATATGAGAATGTGGGAGATAGCGGTGTAGGACCCAAGGGGATATATGAGAATGTGGGAGATAGCGGTGTAGGACCCAAGGGGATATATGAGAATGTGGGAGATAGCGGTGTAGGACCCAAGGGGATATATGAGAATGTGGGAGATAGCGGTGTAGGACCCAAGGGGATATATGAGAATGTGGGAGATAGCGGTGTAGGACCCAAGGGGATATATGAGAATGTGGGAGATAGCGGTGTAGGACCCAAGGGGATATATGAGAATGTGGGAGATAGCGGTGTAGGACCCAAGGGGATATATGAGAATGTGGGAGATAGCGGTGTAGGACCCAAGGGGATATATGAGAATGTGGGAGATAGCGGTGTAGGACCCAAGGGGATATATGAGAATGTGGGAGATAGCGGTGTAGGACCCAAGGGGATATATGAGAATGTGGGAGATAGCGGTGTAGGACCCAAGGGGATATATGAGAATGTGGGAGATAGCGGTGTAGGACCCAAGGGGATATATGAGAATGTGGGAGATAGCGGTGTAGGACCCAAGGGGATATATGAGAATGTGGGAGATAGCGGTGTAGGACCCAAGGGGATATATGAGAATGTGGGAGATAGCGGTGTAGGACCCAAGGGGATATATGAGAATGTGGGAGATAGCGGTGTAGGACCCAAGGGGATATATGAGAATGTGGGAGATAGCGGTGTAGGACCCAAGGGGATATATGAGAATGTGGGAGATAGCGGTGTAGGACCCAAGGGGATATATGAGAATGTGGGAGATAGCGGTGTAGGACCCAAGGGGATATATGAGAATGTGGGAGATAGCGGTGTAGGACCCAAGGGGATATATGAGAATGTGGGAGATAGCGGTGTAGGACCCAAGGGGATATATGAGAATGTGGGAGATAGCGGTGTAGGACCCAAGGGGATATATGAGAATGTGGGAGATAGCGGTGTAGGACCCAAGGGGATATATGAGAATGTGGGAGATAGCGGTGTAGGACCCAAGGGGATATATGAGAATGTGGGAGATAGCGGTGTAGGACCCAAGGGGATATATGAGAATGTGGGAGATAGCGGTGTAGGACCCAAGGGGATATATGAGAATGTGGGAGATAGCGGTGTAGGACCCAAGGGGATATATGAGAATGTGGGAGATAGCGGTGTAGGACCCAAGGGGATATATGAGAATGTGGGAGATAGCGGTGTAGGACCCAAGGGGATATATGAGAATGTGGGAGATAGCGGTGTAGGACCCAAGGGGATATATGAGAATGTGGGAGATAGCGGTGTAGGACCCAAGGGGATATATGAGAATGTGGGAGATAGCGGTGTAGGACCCAAGGGGATATATGAGAATGTGGGAGATAGCGGTGTAGGACCCAAGGGGATATATGAGAATGTGGGAGATAGCGGTGTAGGACCCAAGGGGATATATGAGAATGTGGGAGATAGCGGTGTAGGACCCAAGGGGATATATGAGAATGTGGGAGATAGCGGTGTAGGACCCAAGGGGATATATGAGAATGTGGGAGATAGCGGTGTAGGACCCAAGGGGATATATGAGAATGTGGGAGATAGCGGTGTAGGACCCAAGGGGATATATGAGAATGTGGGAGATAGCGGTGTAGGACCCAAGGGGATATATGAGAATGTGGGAGATAGCGGTGTAGGACCCAAGGGGATATATGAGAATGTGGGAGATAGCGGTGTAGGACCCAAGGGGATATATGAGAATGTGGGAGATAGCGGTGTAGGACCCAAGGGGATATATGAGAATGTGGGAGATAGCGGTGTAGGACCCAAGGGGATATATGAGAATGTGGGAGATAGCGGTGTAGGACCCAAGGGGATATATGAGAATGTGGGAGATAGCGGTGTAGGACCCAAGGGGATATATGAGAATGTGGGAGATAGCGGTGTAGGACCCAAGGGGATATATGAGAATGTGGGAGATAGCGGTGTAGGACCCAAGGGGATATATGAGAATGTGGGAGATAGCGGTGTAGGACCCAAGGGGATATATGAGAATGTGGGAGATAGCGGTGTAGGACCCAAGGGGATATATGAGAATGTGGGAGATAGCGGTGTAGGACCCAAGGGGATATATGAGAATGTGGGAGATAGCGGTGTAGGACCCAAGGGGATATATGAGAATGTGGGAGATAGCGGTGTAGGACCCAAGGGGATATATGAGAATGTGGGAGATAGCGGTGTAGGACCCAAGGGGATATATGAGAATGTGGGAGATAGCGGTGTAGGACCCAAGGGGATATATGAGAATGTGGGAGATAGCGGTGTAGGACCCAAGGGGATATATGAGAATGTGGGAGATAGCGGTGTAGGACCCAAGGGGATATATGAGAATGTGGGAGATAGCGGTGTAGGACCCAAGGGGATATATGAGAATGTGGGAGATAGCGGGGAGTTAGGAAATAAAGGGGTAACACATAAATACAGTAGAAGATTGTGGCTTTTGGTTATTATAACACAGATCTCATATAGGGTGGAAACACACAAATAGTAAGGTACATTCATAATGGCAAGATGGAGAGGGTTAGTTGGTCTAAGGACATGTTGGAGTGAGTGTCACGGTAAGGGTGTATATAATTCACTAAGCAACTTACTTCCCCCCCAGAAGGAAATATGGAAGTAGAATAAATGGGTAAAGAGAAGATATGAGATTGGGCAACGAATGTATATAGTTAAAATCAAGTCGTAGATATTTTATAGGGAGAGATGTATAATACATTGTATGTATAGATAGTATTTGTTGCAATATCCCTAATTTTGAAGAACTGTATAACTAGTTTTATTGGAAATAATAAAAAAAATATATTAAAAGGAGAACTATGGGGTCAGTGTTTTTCCCCATAGTTCTCCTTAGGGTAACGGGAGGACACAAACTAGCGTCCTCCCGTCACCCTAGGCTCAGTATATAGAGAGCTACAGCTCGCGGTATACTGAGACGCCGCAGCCGGAGCGGATCACGACGTAGATGATGGGATCCGCCCAGCTGCGTGAGTGACAGCTGGCTCCGCCTATCTAGAGGCAGAGCCAGCTGTACCCGCCCCCTCCCCCGTCCGTTCCTCCAGTCAGCGCTGGCGGATCGGAGCGGGGAGGGGGGAATCCATCCCCTCCCCTGTCACGGCAGAGAGCCGTGACAGGATCGAGAGGTGAGCGAACCCGGTATGTGTTCCCTCACCTCCCGATCTACTGAGCCGACCTGTGACAGTCTCATTGTCACCGGCTAGAACTATGAGGTGAGTGGAAATCACTCATCTCATAGTTCTCCTTTAAACAAAAAAGTAACAATTTTGCATATTGAAATCAGCAGCATCGTGCCAATAGAATACAGAGGAGCCATAAATGGGGAATGCACCCACCACCAGAAACCATAGAGGCCCTAGTGCACAACACTCACACCCAATTCAGGTAAGAGCAAACGTGGTCAGGGCAATCTGGATGAACAGCACAAGAATGGCTTGAAAATGTTAAGGAATGAAAATAAATAAAAGGTGAAGAGAAGTAGAGGAGAGGAAACGGGATCCAAACACGGGGAGAAGGGTTGGGAAGATCTGGTCCATGTGGAGCACAAAGCAAACTAAATTCCCATCCCATTCCCATTGCATGCCTACAAAAATCGTGACTTTGCCACCGGAGGGTAGATGATCCGAGGTGACCAGATTCAAAGGAGTCATAGCCGTGAGTCTGTCCGTTATAAGAGTAGCTGTTGTTTGACCTTCCTAAAATGAAGGGGAAACTGTCCCCATGGTTTGGCTATAGTGTGCTGTGTGCCTAGAAGAACAGATGTAGTCAGAGATGAAGGTCATTTGAGCCTCCCATGGATTCCATATAAGAATACAGTGTAAGGGAGACCTGACGGGGTTGTGTAGAGCTCACCACATAAGGAGCTGCTGGAATATCCCCGGTCATCACTAGTCTGTCTAGGGGTATGATCTTCAGCCGCCCCATTAGCATATAACCGCCCTCTTCTAGTGCCCACAAAACTGATATCCACTCCAGTAATACGATGCTGAAGAACTTTTACTACCTGGAGGAGAGAGGGTATAGGGATCCCAGACATCCCGGGTGTAACAGACATAGACTCCAGTCTCACCAGCATCTCAGTGTAGATCCACATGTGGTACAATGAATAGTAATTGGAGTAACAGATGAGCAGGGATGAGTATAAATCCTCAGCAGGAGAAACACCGGTCATGCTCCTGAGGTCCTCTAGGTTCTGGGTAGCCATACACTTTCCTGGTTCTCCTCCTCTGGTAACAACACAGGGCTCCTCCATAAGTGAGGCCTAGGGAAACACTTCCCACACTCCAGCCTCTGCCCACCCCCAGGCCTCAGGCCTATCCTGGGGGGTGCTGGACAGCACACACAGCCCTGGGCTAATCCATGGCTGGTCCTGACTAGTCTGAGCACATGGCTATTCCCTCCAGTATATGTACCCTATCCCAGCATGCACCACTGGCTGAGAGAAACCCAGTGATTGGCTGCTGTACTGTACATAAACTACAGTGCCTCTCATTGGCTGTCCCACAATACAGCAGAGTCACACTCCAACCAGGGGGGGTACAAATCAATGCCAGACACCGGGAATTAACCAGATAAATGCCACTATTAATCCAACCAGGCCGACTACAGTCCCGGCAATCACTAAATGTCTAGTAGTCACTCCACTGAAGGTGATGGGGGCTACAGTTGCATAATGGAATCCATACCTCCCAAACTTTAGGTTATTCCCACCAGATATAAAACATGGATCCATGAGAAGTAAAACCCCTAAAGCAGCAGAAGGAGAGGGTGGGGGTGTACTATGCGATTGTATTTTGGGGGGTTTATATACAGAACACGGGGATCTTATAGGAATGTTCTATGGATATAGTGCAAGTAGAAGGACAACATCTAACCATATCTCATTCCATTCTACGCGGCCTAACGTGCTCTCCAGATCCTCCTTTCACTCAGTCACACATAGAAGCTCAGTGCGCGTGCTCGTAGAAGATCTCTCTAGGGTAGGGATTAAACCTGTGGATTGGGGAATCTGTCCTCAAAGCTTGTTAGCGCTAATGGGGATTTGCTTCGATTGTGAAGTACAGAATTAGGAGTTTTATACGGATGAAGTTAAAGTTCAGAGTTAGGAATAATTTCATAATCTTTCACATGTTTTAAACGTTTTTAACCCTTTGGTTAACGTTGGTGAAGCGTATCTAACATTTTTGGAGAAGCAGGGTGTGAAAGTGTCAGGTTCTGCAGGTAGGAACAGATGGCAGTTCAGTATTCCTACTAGAGGGAGGTGAGGAGAGATTCGTCGGCTTCATGGACGGATGCAAGGTTGAGTCTAGTATCCTAGGACGGTGTTGAGAGGTGATCCAAATCAGGATATAAATCCCAACTGGGGAGGATTCCATGATGTTGTTGGATTTAGGTGGCTGAAGGTCACCAGATCACTGAAGGGGGGCAGTAATTATGGACCAGAGACCAGTGTTCCCAGTCATGCTTCGTAAAGTTGGAGCAGCAGCGGGCAGAGCTTCGTCTAAAATGAATGGTGAGGGCAAAACTACACCCAGCAAATTACATCAGCACTCGGTTCCTCAGTGTTAACCCAGCTCTTGGTAAAACTGGCTGGAAAGGGAAAATTAACAGGCATCCTGTGGTGCCAACAATGTGGCAGCTTCTCGGGCTTCTGCTAGAACCACCTTAGTTAGCAAAGCGAGTCTTCAGTAACAAGGACAAGTGCTGAGGCAATGCCACCGCTCTGGACCTGAGGCAATGTCACAGCTCTGGACCTGAGGCGATGCCACCGCTCTGGACCTGAGGCGATGCCACCGCTCTGGACCTGAGGCAACGCCACCGCTCTGGACCTGAGGCAACGCCACCGCTCTGGACCTGAGGCAATGCCACCGCTCTGGACCTGAGGCGATGCCACCGCTCTGGACCTGAGGCGATGCCACCGCTCTGGACCTGAGGCGATGCCACCGCTCTGGACATGAGGCAATGCCACCGCTCTGGACCTGAGGCAATGCCACCGCTCTGGACCTGAGGCAACGCCACCGCTCTGGACCTGAGGCAACGCCACCGCTCTGGACCTGAGGCAATGCCACCGCTCTGGACATGAGGCAATGCCACCGCTCTGGACCTGAGGCAATGCCACCGCTCTGGACCTGAGTCAATGTCACCGCTCTGGACCTGAGGCAATGCCACCGCTCTGGACCTGAGGCAATGCCACCACTCTGGACCTGCAAAGTTCTCCGTGGCTTACTTTTACCAGTACTCTCAGGTCTGGAAAGTGCCATAATACTGAACCCAGTGCCCGATGGCCACATTCCAGGCTAGGTCTGCACGTCCAGTCCAGCATGGTCCAAGTACAGCATTCCAATACTGGGCTGAGGAAAGGCCAATTTGGATCGCTGTTATGTAGAGACCAGCTCGGGCAGCGATGAGACAAGGAATCCTGAGTGAAGAATAACCCAAGGATAAAATAAAAGTGAAGTGAAAAGGCTAAAGATTGGCGAGACTATTCTCAGCAAAGATGAAGAAAAGACGTCCATTCTCCTACAACCCAGGGACACAGCTGAGGCACGCTGGGCTGAGGAGAGGTTATCCTGGGGCTGGCCTACAATTGTTTGGTTTGTCAGTGTGCATTCTGCCTGCAGGCAGCAGTATAACCTGACAGCATCTGAGTTCCTGTGTCCCTCAATGGGTGAGAAAGAAATACCATTTATGACACAGATATCTGGACAGAGATGACCTGGGGTACAGAACCCTCTGTACTGGGAGTATTGGGACATCCAGCGATGACATTATACACCATGGCTGTGTCATGCATTCCTCCTGCAGCTCAGCAGAATGAGGTCACCGTGTCCGGCTGAGGATAGAACCTTCATAATGGGATGTAAACCTCCTGTCAGCGGCTTCACAAGACCAGCGCGTTTCCCTGTGAAATTCATGAAGGTTTAAACATTTCCAGAATGCCTGAGTCAGTTCTGGGGAACCACTTCAAAGGCTCCTTTCCCTGACTCCTTCATTGCTCAGGCAGCACACCAAGGGGCCAGGAGACGGGGACTTCACAGAGGAAGAGCTGCTGGAATATGTTGCCTTTATTGCTTCCAACCCTGAACAGATAAATGTGGTGACATCTGATGTTACCTCCAGGACTACATGGAGGTAACATGGTGGCAACCACAACCAAATGTGCCAGATGTCCGCCATACTGGAGCCACCAGGGACATTGCTGAAATCATATAAAGTGGAGTCTCTTAGTTTTAGATGCAGGGATGGGGAAGGGCTAAGTCCCTCTGTCAGGTTTTTAATTACTATTAATGTCCCCACTGGGAAGTTTCACCCTCTCTATGTGTCTTGATGACCATTGTCATGGAGACAGGAAGTGATGAGAAATGGAACATTTCAGTTGTCTCCAGAACAGGAATAGAAGAGAATGTTCCAACGGGGGACACCTGTTTTGGTGATATGAATGCTGGTCACCAAGGTCAGAGAGGGCTCGTGTATACAGGAACTGACCACTATGGAGGGTTTCTGCAGAGCCCCGGCCCAAAAGACTGGGTGACCTGCACCAACCACACATAGCTGTAGGGTTTAGACCAGTGGTTCTCAACCTGTGTAACCTCAGGACCCACATCTGTCCTTGGTTATTAAGTCGCACTGCACACACACTCAGGCATTCTCACACACATACTGTACATACTCCAACAAAAATGATATTTTTTTTTCTATTTTTTTAAGATCCACCCGTCTCCATACCTTACGAGCACTGGGGTGGATCCTCAGCTTGGGGTCCAGGGTGGGCTGCTGTGCTGTGACGGAGCTCCATCCATATGGGCATTGTTTGTACAGCTCCCTTCCGTGTCCTGTAGAGGTGCCGGGAGCCAGAATGTGACGTCAGTCCGGGCACCTCTACAGGACATGTGAGGGAGCTGTAAGCAATGCACATATGGAGGGAGCTCCCTCGCGGCCATACCCCCAGCCCACGCCACCTCAAATGGACACTCAACGCCGGGCGGCATATTTTGAATGGCTGTTTGGTGCGAGAACTGACAGTGGGGGAGGCTGAGGAGTGTGTCACCTGGAAAAGTGCAAAGCATGTGATGACCCGCTGAAGATGGGGTCGCGACCCACCAGTTGAGAACCAAGGGTTTAGACTCTGTAGTGCCAATGAGCTATGAGCTGCGGCCCAAAGACAGAAATTCGTGCAGACAGGACGATGTGAACACACAAGGCCACACAAATGTACCATGTGGCCCCAGAGACTGGTACTGGTGCTGCTGTGTACAGTAAGGAAGAATCATGGTGTTTAGGACTCATAGCCAAAGACCGAACTCAAACATTCGAGCTGCAACACAGATTTCGGAACGTTCACTGGCAGAGACCGGACACACAGCTACTGATCGCACCTCTTTTTTATGTAGTCGGGAAAGAGCTTGTTCATCCCGATAATCGGAGCTTCTTCTCAGCCGGGAATCCGGAGATATCTGCACAAAGATACATTATACTTCAAGAGTGTCAGTGTCTGAAAAGGGAACATTGTCTGCGCTGCCCTATACTAGACAGAAAGACTCCCACTTATCCAAACACTCTAATACATAAGTCCCATTGTACTTGGCTGCACAATCTACATGTTATTTACACCATGCAGGAAGGCACGCCAGCCTTAATGGTATGGGGGGGGGGGGTTTTTAGCACTTTATACATATAAATATATATATATACATACTGTATATGAAAGTAACAATGCTAGGAACCCAAATACATACCGATGTTAAAGGCACAGGCTTTTCCCGTAGATAGCGAGGATTTTCTATCTGTTAAGAGATGAAAAAAACTATTATATGAACGTTCAGGACATCCAACACTAACTGTGAACGACTTCCCTGCATAATAATTCCTTACAGACATCTACAAATAAAACTGCAGCTAGACTGCATGGCCAAAAGTATGTGAACCCCTCCATATGACTGAGTTTAGGTGTCTCCAGTGACGGTTCTATTCACCCAACATCATACAAAGACATGGTAGACAATTGTGCTCTCCCAAGCTTGTGGTCACCATTTGGTGAAGACCCTTTTCTGTTCCCCCATGACTGTCCCCCGTGTACAAAGCCAGCTCCATAAAGACATGGTGTGACCAGTTTGGTGAAGACCCTTTTCTGTCCCACCATGACTGTCCCCTGTGTACAAAGCCAGCTCCATACAGACATGGTGTGACCAGTTTGGTGAAGACCCTTTTCTGTTCCACCATGACTGTCCCCCGTGTACAAAGCCAGCTCCATAAAGACACGGTGTGACCAGTGTGGTGAAGACCCTTTTCTGTTCCACCATGACTGTCCCCTGTGTACAAAGCCAGCTCCATACAGACATGGTGTGACCAGTTTGGTGAAGACCCTTTTCTGGTCCACCATGACTGTCTCCTGTGTACAAAGCCAGCTCCATAAAGACACGGTGTGACCAGTTAGGTGGAGGAACTCGAGTGTCCTACACAGAGCCCTGACCTCAACTCTACTGGACATCTTTGGGATGAATTGACACACTGATTGTGAGTCGGATCTTCTCCAACATCAGTACCTGACCTCTCCCATGGGACAAATTTCCTCCCAAATCTTG